TTAGTAGTGTAAGACAACTTGGTTTGAGTCCAATTGTTTTATCCAAAACATATTTTTTAACGCAGTTATGCACACCACACAAATAACCAGACACTCTAACAGCTAGTCATATTCTACATGTGGAATTGAAACAGATACTTTGATGGGTGTTAAATATAGTTAAGCAACTGTAAGAAACTTTTAACTTTCTAAAAATTACCTTGGAAGCAAGGTGATTCAGTAGCATGACAGGCAAAAATGCTTCACTTACAAGATGATGCTGAAAAAATGTGCTCAGTAGTATCAGGGATTGTCACTGATAGCATCCCTAACTGGAACTATATGAAAACTGAATTACGAGAACTATTTCAGGTAGAGGAAAGGGAAAAGATTTTCCAAAACGATAAAGAGGAGCCTGTTGTGTCAGAGGAGCCTGAACACAAACAGTGCTTCTCCTGGAGCCGCAGTTTAATAGCCGTAGTGGCTGTGACTGCTACAGCTTGCTGGCTGTCTGAAGATGAAATCTATTCAGACCCAAACAGCTGGTCAAATTTTGAGACTAATGAAACTTGATTTAAAATAAAAATTTATTACATGATTGGAAGGAGTAAGGGGAATGCTCTGCCCACCCCTCGGGGCCCCGCCACCAGTCAGAGGAGCCCCATGCCTGGCCCCTGCCTGCCGACACCGAGGATGGACAATGCTTGTGCTGCAGGGATTTTGCTGCTGTTACTACCTGAGCACTCTGTCCCTTTTGATCCGGGGAGAAAACTCTGTTCCCCGGAACTGGTGGTGGAAGGTTCTGGGGCGGTAAATCTGCCACTTAACCTTGATAGGCCTCCTTGTGCCCTTGCTAGAGGCCTCAACCGGTGTGTGCAGGGGTTGGGGGGGCTGTTCGGGCTGGGGCTCAGGGCTGCTGGGTGGGGTGTAGAATGTATGAGATGGGGAAGGGCTGGTGGGGCACAGGGGCAGTAGGGTGCTGGGTGGGTCGTGTGGCATTAGGGCAGCTGGGGATGGGCTGGCAGAGCATGAGGGAGGGGGCCTATGTAAGGAAGGTGGGGATGCTGGAGGGGAACAGGGTGGCAGAAGTTGCTGGTGTTCATCCTCATACTCAGGTGTGCTGGGGCAGCTGCTCCAGGTCTGCGGGGATGCAGGGCAGCTGATGGTTTCCAGCTGCTGTGTGGAAGCTGCAGAGATCCACCTGTGGAGAGAGGAGGCTGCTGTGGCCCTCGTGTGCAAGTGGCACATGGGGAATCTTCCCCAGTGTGACCCACGAGCAGCCATCCAAGGAGCAGGGGCAGGGAATCATCAACTCACTCTTTTCTCTGCTGCCGCCGCATCCGGACCCAGCACAGCAGGACTGCAATTAGCACAGTGATGGCCACTACTGCTGTGCCGATCAGAAAGTACTTCAGCACCTCCCTTGTCTCAAAACCACTTTGACTGCCTGGGGTGGGAGAAATGCTCGGAGGTCTCTTGGTGTCCACATCTGGAGGAGCAATTTGGGACATTAGTTGGTCTGGCAACCACCACTAAGCTTGCAGCACCCTCCCACCCTTTGGGACAGGTTGTCCCACCAAACAAAGCTCCGGTGGCCAGAAGAGCACAGATCAGAGCTGCTTGGCCAGTCACTGCTTCGAGGGACACGGACAAAAGCCATCCTGCAGCAGGCAGAGCCACCCACCCCTGACTCTCCCTGCCCCCAGGCCAGCTCCCACACCCTGAGGGGACAGAGACAGTCCTTCTCAAGTGACACTTGAGCCTTGCTCTCCCCTTCCGCCTTTTCCCCAGCACGGCCACTGCCCGCATGCGCTCCCAGGTTTCGGGACATGTTTCCCACTTAGGGACCCCAGCAGGAATGCTCAGTACCTGAGTCTGTTTGAAAAACATCGTACACTCTGCCACGGTGGCCTTGTCCGGGCTTTGCGATCACTGCCAAAAAGCAGAGACGACAGGTAAAGGCTGCGCGTGGCTGAGGCACAGAGGATGCAGGGGGCTGGGGCGGTTCCCTCGAAGCCCCTGCCCAGTCGGGGAGTCAGGGCATCGCTCTGGGCCTCAGCTCACGGGAGGGATCCCGCTCTGGGCTGCTCTTGCTGACACACAGCGATCCCGATGAGGGATGCCGGCTGACCGCGGGGCAGCAATTACCTGGCATGGCGGCGGCTCGCATCCCCTCTGCTTCTGCTCCATAGGCTGGCAGGGAGCCGCTGCCACCTCCTGGGTATTCTGCCTCCTGCGCAGCCTCTCTGTCTGTCTCTTGAGGAAGCAAGCGGGACAGTTGGATCAGATGGAGCCGCTCCCCGTCGGGGAGATGGCACCTTCCAGAGGCCACACTGCTCAAACACATGGATCAGGTTTAGAAAAATCTGCCTGCTGACGTCTACACAAACCAGCGCTGGGCCCTCACAGTACCCTGGGGGCAGCGGCTGCCCTTGGGACTTGGCTTAAGCCACAACAGGCAGCAGAGGCTCTGCACCAGCTCCAGGGTTCGCCAGCACCTGCAAGGCGTGAAACCCAGCATCGCTGCTGCGAGGTTCTGCTCGATCCCTTCCCTTCCCGGGAAGCTGCATCGTGTGGGCCTACGGTCACAACTGCCAAGAAGCGCACGACAGATCAGTTCCCGTAACACCGCTCAAGGTACTTCCTCGGAGCAGAGTGGCAGCGAGCGCAAGCCAAGGACCGGCTTACTCCCACGGCACTGCCCTCTCCCTTCCCCTCAGGAGCACGGTGCAAAGAGGTACGGCGTGCCTGCAGCGGCACCACGCTGGGACGGACGAACCACGCGTGGAGCTGCCGGGAGAAAGGGCTCCCAACAAGCCTGCTGGCGTGGCAGCCAGCACCGGGAGCAGCTCAGGCTGCCAGGGGCCAGCAAAAACAGCCTGGCAAGGGAGAGCACCCCGGGGCACATCACTGAGCCCAACCCCTTCCCTCTCTGCACATCAGCCACAGAAGGAGCAACTTGCACTTCACACAGAAAAAAGACAAAAAGGTAGATGCTCCCTCCTCCCACTGACTTATGTGTGGGACTGCTCTCAGACGGGAGGACAGCAAGAGATGAAGTCCGGAATCCATCGACCTCGAGAGGATCTGAAGGGAAATTGCACCTCAGTAAGCTCTTGCCACCTTGTCAGAGTTTACTCTTTCAAGTAAAAGGACATTGAGAACTTACCTCCAGGATGCCCCAACGACTCGAAACCAACATCCAGCTGAGAAGCTGGATAACCACTGCCCCCAGCTGCATCTAGAAGCAAGCAGAGATGAGTCATTGCCACTGCATGCTGGGAACCACTTCTGCCTTAGGGAACTGCAGGCACGGCAAGGGGCTCAGGTAACCACGGGCGGGCCAGACAAAGGTGGTATTGTCAAAGCTGCAGAGGGGCCTGGTGAGCTCTTGGCTGGCACCTGGCAGCTCTCCACTCACTTTTCACAGACCATGTGCAACACCCGTCAAGGAGCAGATGGACCAATGTACAGCTCCTGGGCGCTTTCTTACCGGGAGAGCTCTCGCACACAGAGACAAAACCCTCGCTGAAGCACTGGAGGGAAAAAGCACCATCCACGCTTCTCAGGGAGAAGAGCCCGCTGGCCCGTGAAAGGCTGCACCAGCGGCCGCTCACTTACCTGCTCCCTGCAGTTGCCACAGAGCATCCCGGGCAGCCCTGGCGTGCAGGGCCACCAGGAGGAGGAGGATGAGGAGGAGGCGGTGGACGAGTGCCATGGCTCCCTGCCCTCCCATGATGATGATGCTGCTGCTGCAGTGGGGTTGGCGTCTGAGCACTGAGCAGTCAGTACACCCAGTGTGTTACCATGGGGGTACGTGCCACCACAGTCCCGCTCTGATGGTGTCACGGCCCCACTGTGACGTCACGGCTGGGCGGAGGCTGCATGGGGACGGATCTCAGGGCGCTTGAAGAGAGCCGCTGGAGCTGCCCCTCCAGGGAAGGGAAATCGACCCCTCAAGCAGCTCTGTCCAGGGGCCTGCTCCTACAAGTTTGGGTCAGAACTCAGGTTTTCCACATCACCCACGTGCCAAAGTAATTCATTTGACAGATTTATCATAAGTGCTTTATACAGCTGAATTTCCTTCTTCTCTACATACTTTCAGTGTCCCTTGACCTGCTTTTCAAATAACTAGCACTACCAAGAACGGCCCGCTAATCCACAACCACTGTGCGCTGCAGTAAAACAGCTGGGCCGGCATTTCTTTTAAAATGCAAGACTTACCTTGGGCAAAAAGTGTTAAAGCAGTTCACTTTCCAAGGAAAATTTCTCATGTCAACCTCTCTCTGGTGCCTGACTGGACATACTGCAGAACTGTTCTCTAAGCCCAAACCAAAGCTACTTCCCTGTTACAGGTGTAACGAGCAACAGCCACCAAAGAACCAGCGTTGCCTCTGGCCAAAGCGCAGGCCCAGAAGAACACTGACGCTCAGCGTCTCCCACTTTGGAAAGAAAGGTCTCCTCTATGGAATACTTCATTTTTGAAAAATGCTTCTTTTCATTTGGGAAGACAGGACACCACACAGCTAAGAACTTCCTCATTCAAACTCTCTAAACTTTCATAGAATTGTTAAGGACAAGCAGAAGTTTCATTCTTTCTAAAATTTCTCAAGCAGAAGAAAACAGAAAAGCTTAATTATAAACAAAGCCTGACAAGGCTACTCTGTGCATTCACACATTTTCAAGGCATCTCTATCCCAGTGATGTTGTGGAAATTATGAGACACAGAACACAGATCCGTGTTTGAAGTTTGTCCTTAAGCACAGCATTTCCCTCCCTGAGTTCATATTAGTCCTGAGGACTCCGACACTGCAGGCCGACTAACAAGCTGGAGGACCATCTCTCCTCCTCTGAAAGACTTTGATACAGCCTTATATAGCCCCTGTGCAGCCACAAAACATTGAAAAAAATCAATCATGAATATCACCAGGAAAGGGATTGTGATTGAGTAACAACACTGCGCTGCCATACCACCTTGCAAGTCAGATTGCTTCTGAAGTAGAACAGGATAAAACCCACACGCAGAGGCAGAGAGAAAAGTACACACAAACTTTTGCTAGAAATACACAGTTCACAAGAGAATGTCAACAGCGAGCTAGAGGTTTCTCTCACCCGACTGCAAGGGCCAGCGACCCGACAACAGGAATCACTTCCCAGGGTGGCTGGCTGGCAGAAGAGGCCGCTCTTCTCCTCAGCCAGGAGCGGTGCAAACTCGTTACTTCACATTGGGATTGCAGGGAAGGATGAAGGAAGAGAAAGCGCTTCAGTGGTTGCTCCCCAGTTAAACACGATTATTGTCTCTCAGAGAATGCTGTCAGCGAAGCAATGAAAACTCCAGTTGTGTCGCTCAGACCACCATCTACTTAGACTACAAAACTACGATGAAAAGCTGCCAGTGCCAAGGAGAGAAGCCACTCTAGTGATGCTGGGAGGCCAACAAGAGCTCTGGACAGAGCTGCATGTACTATAGTGTACTTACCTGGAACGGTTACTCCGCACCCCCTCAGGAGAGCTTGCTAAGGACTGCAGTTGACTGTGCTGGTTAACCCGTTCTGGCTGCAGTGGGTGTCTGTCATCTACCCGGTGTCACACCACTTGGCACCAGGCAATAGTTTGTATGGCCACTGTTTGGACCGATGCATGCATTAGCACTAGTCTCAACTCTTTTGAGAAATTTCTAGTCTAGGCAGCTGATGAGAGACAACATGGAAGTGGCCAGATGGGCAATGGTAATGGGCCAAAGGGGACCCAAAGCCCCTAAGCCTGGTAATGATGCTGATGAGAAACAAACCTAGTGGCCGTTCTGGAAACCCGAGCCACTGCCAGCAGTGAGACTGCAAACCAACACCTGAGTGACTGCGGGCTGGCGGACACACACACAGGCCTGGCAATAAAAAGCTGTCGCAAACGATCACAGTGATTTTAGAAAGATGTTGTAAAAACACGACCTAACAAAGTTCAGTGGCAAGGTTCACTCTATTACTTACTACGTGGAAGAAACACACAAAGGCAACTCGAGTTAGAATCGAGCTAGCATGAATTACACGGAGGCTGGAGATGCAAAATGGTAAGGGAGACCCTCCCATTGAGTCAGGAGGTTCAGCGTGGACCCCTTTGCTTTCCAAACTCCTAAGGGAGCTCGGGAGTGGCTAGGTCCGATCTTAAGTCTCAGACTTGGACAATGGTTTTATGTCTAATGGAATTAGCTACATGGATTTCATTAGTATTAATTCAGCATGCCATCAGTCGCTTACCTAGGATCTGTTGTGAATCACAGAATCATCTAGGTCAGAAAAGACCTTGAAGATCATCTAGTCCAACCATTAACCTCACACTGACAGTTCCCAACTACACCAGATCCCCCAGCGCTATGTTGACCCGACTCTTAAACCCCTCCATGGATGGGGACTCCACCACTGCCCTGGGCAGCCCATTCCAATGCCCAACAGCCCCTTCTGGAAAAAAATATTTCCTAATATTCAGTCTAAACCTTCCCTGGTGCAACTTGAGGCTATTCCCTCTTGTCACTTCATTAAAGAGACTCATCCCCATCTCTCTGCAGCCTCCTTTCAGGGAGCTGTAGAGGGCGATGAGGTCTCCCCTCAGCCTCCTCTTCTCCAGACTAAACACCCCCAGTTCACTCAGCCACTCGTCTTACGACCTGTGCTCCAGACCCTGCACCAGCTCCGTTGCCCTTCTCTGGACACGCTTAAGTCTTCAATGTCCTTTTTGTAGTGAGGGGCCCAAAATTGAACACAGGAATCGAGGCGCAGCCTCATCAGTGCTGAGTGCAGGGGTAAGATCCCTTCCCTGTCCCTGCTGGCCACGCTATTGCTGACACAAGCCAGGATGCCATTGGCCTTCTTGGCCACCTGGGCACACTTCTGGCTCATGTTCAGCTGGCTGTCAATCAACACCCCCAGGTCCCTCTCTGACTGGCAAAATATCAGAGCACGCTCTGTTAACGCCCCTGAATGCCAAGCTACATGGAGCCTTTCTGTTGCATACAAATGGCTGCCACACCAGCACCTGGCCAGCAAGCTTTTATTAATTCACAGAATTTATAAATAAAGTATTTCTAGAAACAGGAGGCTGTCAATCTGTGGATCAAGGCCTACCAATGGGGACCAACTACCAATGAAACCCTCCCATCAACATCAGAGCAGCAGGCTAATCAGCATCTTCAGAGCAGACCAGAAAACCCACAAGTCTCATCAGCTTTGTCAGAAGAAAAAAACCTGCCTGAACTCAGAAGTTGAATCTGACATCTGAGACTTCTGAATTTGCTTTAAAAAAAAAATCAGTGTCAAGATGCAGAACACATGGAGTACCTACAAGCCTTAACTCATTGCCCCAATGCTGATTTCATTTCTCACGCCTGCATAAATAGACCAGTCCCTTCATTTTAAAGGGTACTCGTACTTCTAGTCTGACATGTAGGTTTTCTCTTACAGGCTTTTTGCAATAAATTCAGGCTCCTCCTCACCCTTTGCTCTTTGAAAAATGCCAGTATGGATAACGTCTAAGGCTACCTACCACTCTTTGATATGCATTTAGCTTGGAAATCTACAATTAAAATAATTTTCACTTGTCATGCTGCAAAGGGCCACAATACAGCATTTAAGTTTTAGGCCTGTAGGAAGCCTTATTCACAGGACTTTCCTCCCTTTTACTGTTACGGCTGAGATCATAAATACATTCACATTGAGGAAAATAGCCTAAAAATTTTAACTTCTGTACTACATTAAGGTTGCTCATATTCCTACAGTTGTCAACACAATTTCAGCCTGGAATTCTACTTAGGTTTTAGTTTCTGCAGTTCACTTGATTTCACGTTAACTATTGTAATAGGAATTGACATTAAAATCTTGATTATTTCTGCAGGTTAATAATACCACTACCATTACCACATGGCGTGGAATGCCACTGCACAACTGAACACGCTCCGACACAAGCAGCCATGAAGCACACACAATTACAGTGTTCCCTAAGCCACCCAGGATGGCCAGATTCCAGTCAGCCCTCTGCAACCTGCACTTTTAGAGATAAAGCCCCGTCATGGGGAAAGTCCATGCCAAAGTGAGGGACAGGTAGAGAGGAAAGGGTGAAGTAAGCTTTCATTTACCACTGTCTAGCATTTTCATTCATCTATATTAGTACTGACCACAGCCATTGCCTAAAAGTCAAAGTGTATGCAAAGTAAGCCTCAAAAAAAGCATATTCCTAGCCCTCATTCACCTAAAAAAAATATGCAGTGCTTTGTTGTAAATATGGATTCTACAGCTGCCAGCTGTAGCCCAAATGCTGTGCCCATGAATCCCTCCTGCATGAGGATCCCTAACTGAGCTCCCCTTCTAGGAAGAATAAGTAACAACCACGTTTCAAACTCCAGAAAATAAAAATCCTGACAAACTTTAAAGATTTCACCAGCTTTAATGCCAATGAACATTCATGCCTGCAAGAAAATGAAGCATATTTAGAACCACAGAGGATAGTGAAGGCCCCACATCTTCTTGCTAGGAAAGATGAGGAACAGGGAGATAAAGACTACAGGAATAAAGGGTCCCTCTGCCTTGGATAAAGAGGGATCTCTTATTCTCTGATATAGGATCTCAAACCCTGAGAGGCATCCCTGTGCAAGGCCTGGCACACAGTGCAGTTGCACTTCAGGGAAAACTCAAATTGGGCTCATCCAGCGATGCATCGCTGGTAAAAGGAATCTCTGCCTCGAGGAGAAATCTTGAGAGGTGTCCCAGCTCAAGGGGAGATCACCACCATGCAGCCCGGCAGGAAATGCTCAAAGGCAGCTCCCTGGGACTGGCCTTTATGGATTGAAGTGGTTGGGTCACAGTCAAATCACATACAACGGGAAAAGTAGGCAAGAGACTCCTTGTACCCACAACCTTCTTTGTTCCTTGAGAAAGGGCTCTTCGAAAAGACACCTGCTATTCACGTGTTCATCGCGTGGTCCCTGCTCCAAGCTCACATGCACCAAAGCTCGCTGGGTGTCTCTGCGCCTTTGGGGGCTTTCTAGAGAAGTTCTTGGCACAGCTACAGCTCAGGCGTTGACCTCCTCTAGAGCCCATACCGAACCACCGCTAGTTTGGTTAAGGGGTCGAGCAAACCCCTCACAAAGGTCACCCGGGCCAGGCCGGCCCTTCCTGAGGAGGAGAGGCCAGGCCGCGGGGCTCTGGGCAGCACCAGCACGAAGAGGCGCCACCAAAGTGGGGAAGCTAGAGCGCTGCAGCCCGTCCTGCTCAGCCCCGTCCCGCTCGGCTCCACCGAGAGCGGCTGAGGCCGGCCAACCACCGAGGGCGCCATTTCGGGGCTGCGTCTTCAGGCGCCTTGAAATAAATGGCGGAGGGGGCGGAGACCATTTTCCCACTACCCAATGAGAAGAGAGAGTCCCAGGAGGAGACGGTGCCGCGCGGCCCCAAGCCCAATGGGCGTGAGAGGCGATGGATGACAGACAGGCGGCCCCCGTGCCTAACGGCTCCACCGGGCGGGCCTTGGCGATGAGTCTCGCGGCAAACGGCGTCAGGAGCGGCCGCGACTCCGTGAGGGTGTTGGCGGGCTCCGGGTCACCCTGCGGCCGGTTAACGGGGACGGCGGCAGCGGGCCGGGCTGCGGGGG